ATATCAGCCCTAATGGCTCGACTGGTCCTTTTTCGGAGTTCCAGCACACTCTGCTGGAGCTCGTGGAGCCATGCTGCGGCTGTCGCCGCTTGTTCGCACGACTGATATTTCACCTGTCCGTTATTGATTATTAGAAGATGGAGTTCTGTCGGTAGCCCAGTGCAGTAATCGTCAGCGAGTTCGTCGGAGGCAACGTCCAAACCACGCTCCGCTGCAGCCGCAAACCGGTCCGAGTATTCCTTCGGGTTAACATTCCACCATACTTTAGCCAACTCCGTCAACAATTGACTCTGCGACATTTTTTTTGTCAAACCGCTCCAAAAGCCTGCGCTGTACTGTCGCCCAGTCACTTAGGTCGATAGTTCTCCGTAGATACATCCAATACGTTAGAGTCGGGCCCACAAGGTGGTCAATAAGTGCACTTCCCTACTCGCGCGGCTCCAATCCCACCTGGGTGTACCGGCACTCGATGCGCAGCAGAAAGGCCTGCATATTGCTGCCATCTTCTGGTAGTATGGGAATCGTTGCGCCGGATTCCACGGTCCCCCCTATAACAGTTCTTATCACACTGGCAGCGGACTGGAATTGGTCCCACGTGACGAAGGGACTGTCCCCTGGCATAACGTTGGTCATAGGTATCACCTGCGGGGGCGCCTCCTTATGCCCATGCGGCCGCTCTGCCACGGTGGGCTTCGGAGTAGCATGACGATGATGGGCCGGCGTCCCGCTCGGCATTTTGTTCACTGACATTGTAGAAGTCTCCCGCGGTGTGGGGCCGATAACGCGTCCGTTGCGGAGATGCATCCTTTACCGAGCGAAGATTTCTAGGCGTGAGTTATTAAAACAATGTATTTCTACTCCCAAGTCCGGAAAGAACAAAGATTTCATTCCCGGAACAGCCCCCAAATGTAGTGCAGAGCGCCTACTGCTGCGACTACGCTGCTACCTGCCCCTCGAGCAGGGCCTATGATCGGCACCTAACGTCGACCAATTTCCTTGAAACAGTAGCTTATATATATCGAAATACAGTTATTCTTAAGTTTCCAAAATCTGTTGTCGTTCAATTCGCCTCACTCGGGGTGCTCGTCTCCTAGGCCCTGTGGGGAGGAGGCCTGCACTGGTGCCGGCGCTATCGCCAGGCCCAGTTTCGACGCGTTTTCAGGCATCTCTAGTGTAGGCATGTTAATTCGCAGACGAATTGCCTGACTTTGATCCTAGTAGGAGGGTCCTGTTCTCCTCCAGTGTTGCGACCCCTTGTAGGTCGCCAGCTAGCTATCTTCTATGGGTCACCAGCAAGCCCTATTGTAGTGCCTGTGCACTACACCGGTGCAGCCGGTGCCCGCGCTATCGCCACCCTTCTCCCCACCTGGCCAAGAAGGCGAGAACCCCGGGTGGGGGACTTTTAAGGAAAATGGATTTGGGGACTGGAGAAATAAATACATTTGATGATATTTGAACAGTTATTTCAAAGAGATGCGCCGAAGGTAGAAGGTTATCATAGGCCCCTGCTGCTGGGCCAGGTAGCAGCGTAGTCGCAGCACTAGGTGCTGTGCACTACATGCCCGATAGCTCTTTAGCCTGAAGGCTGCATGTTTCCTCCATAGGGCTCTTTGACCGCTTGTCGTCAGGCCACTCTTCTTCGTCTCTTGCCTCTTTGGTGCGCATTGTCGCTCAACCGCCCCATGCCATTTTCGTAAGTATGCAGCTCACATTTTGGACATTCCATGCTCAGTGATGCCATTTAGGCCGACTGGGCCCCAAAACCCCGTCAGAAGAAATAGACCTCACTAGGCAGCCGCTCATCAATTAGAAATTTCAGGTTGCCTCTTGATGTGTAAGCTGGTCCAGTACTGACATCACTTCAAAAGGGACAGCTCTCACTTACAAGGCCTCCAAAAGCATTTACGTTACATCGCCGTTCTTGTGACTACGTGACCAGTGTGGAGCAGTTCGCTGCTATCCACGGTCATCCCACGTCTTTTAGGAAGCTACTAAGCATTGAGCTATGGCCACCCCTCAGTAGCAGGGCTATGAAGGCTCTGTACAGAGCTAACATATAGGTAAGGTTTGCAAATGTGACAAATATTACCTACTTAGAAAATTGCAGTGCTGCGTGCACTGCATAACACACTTCAGGCTTCCCTAACCTGCAGTTCACAAGCTGAGTCTCCCTGCTAGTACGCCACACACCAGACTACTCAACGCGTGTCTGCGCAACGTTTTGTGCCAGCCGTTGCTTCAACGCTAGCGATGTAGCGATTTGGCATTTACCTACCAGCTCCTTATTAACCGGTCCGTGCACCTCAGAGCACCACTATGTTTCGGGCTAGCAAATACCTTTTGCAGTTTTTTCCTGATATGGTGATTCGTGTCCCTGTGGCTGGAGGTGTGACCTCCGACCCAGGGAAAGCTTGGCTGGATTAGGCTCCCTCTGCACTGCATGCATGAGGCCTGTACTATATTTCTGTTGCTCAGCACTTTTCCTTCTTAAAAAAACATACGTCCGCACTTTTCACTCTACTGCGAGTACTTCTTAACTAATTCTTTGGTTAGTCTCAATTTTGTAGGCTGCTTTTATTGTCACTCTCTTTGGCTGTCGTTGCACAGTTTGTGGTGTAGTATTTCTGTGTGCTGCACCTTCAATATGCTCATCTTGCCCACCATGCCCTGTAACTCAATGAAAGAAGCAGCGGGTGACAAATTCGTGCTCCTACACTCAAAGCACGCCGAAGGCACACGGGAGGCCACACGTCTCACGAGCGTCCGCCGCTTGCATCATTTTACTCCATGAGGGATATTACCCAGAGGATGCTCATTGTCATGTGGAAAAAGAGCTAAAGTTACAGCGAATACTTATTTCATAGTCGCATTCAGTGACGATTATGTCGTTTGGTAGGCTTAATCTGAGGTAGCTTTAAAGCTAGGTAGCGACGAGGGGCTCATGCTCATCCAGTATCGAAAAAACTAGATTGCTCGCTCTACGAGATCACCCTTTCACAGTACGGCTTCAACGAGCTTTACTTGAGAAGAGGCACAGCGTCTAAAGCACACTTTGTCTTACAATTATGTCGCGGCATGCACTTCTTGGCGTTCTACTACCTTTTCCGAAAATAGTTTTCAAGGCATCTATTGCTTCTTGCCAAGCGGCACGCATCATCTGTCCAGCAATTGTTAGAACAAAAAAAGGTAAACTGTCAGGCTCACCTCAAAGGAATTAATATTCTGGAATGCGGAAAGGGGCTTACCCTGGCCAAGCACTAGACAACTGTTGGCTGCTTACCGTGTGGGAGCACCCGTGTAGTGCCAGGCACTACAATTGACCTTCGTCGCCACCCCTCGAGGCTTAGTAACGCGAAAGGGCATGAATAATATAGAATATTTTAAGGTATAAGGCACCATTGGATATTAGAAAATCATAAAAGGGAATAGTGTGCTCGCTAGCCAGCACCGGGTATGGGGCTGGATGCAAGGTTGGTGCCGTGACTCAGGCACTGACCCTCAGCGAGGGTCAACAGTCAGTTCTATTATTTTAGGTTTTTCTTACCTCTCAATGGTATGAACTCAGTTGTATATGGCCATTAAGAGTACACAGTAGTATTTGGCGAGAATCATGGATTTTAGATAGTAGATGCAGAGTGTGCACTTAGTCAGACTAGCCCAGGGACCATACGTAGTAACAGTGTAGGCCAGCTGTTCACTACATTTGGGGGCTGTTCCGGGATATAAAAATTAAAATAAATTGAGAAAATTATCGAGCTTGCTTTAAAGGGGAAGATCCTTTCCTTTCTTTCTCGCAAAATCCGAAGTGACCTCCGCACCTAAGTGAAAAGGGGGATGGACATGCACCTACGCAACGGAAAAGTGGTACAACCTCCACCAGAACCGAACGCAGGAATGCGCAACACAGTTGTATCAAGTAAAGAAACCGCGGGGCACCCTATTGAGTCGAAACGAACAGAACCCGGTCGCGACATCAGCCAGCCCATCGCAGGGGTAGGCCGGCCGATACCGAGAAATCGGGACCGCGACGTTGGAGGACGCAAGGAACCCGAAATGAATCAAGCTAGGATGGAACCGGGAATGGCCGAGTTCTTTCGGCAATTCGCCTCTTAGATGGCACTGGGGTTAGTGCATACGTCCCAGAGGTCCATTGGGTTCGAGGACGGCAAGAACATGAGGAATTTCCTCGACCTTGTGGTGTTAGATTTCATTGAACGAGGGCTGGAAGAGCGGCAGTGGGGAGAAGAATTCAAAAGATATCTGACAGGCGACGCCGGGTTACTGGTTGTATCTGCGTCGCACGGGAGTACCCCTGACTGATTGGGAGCAACTGAGACAGCGATTCCGTGCGCAATTCTGTAACATAACAAAGGAACGGATGAAAGTCATGATAGCGGAGAATGTATGGCGGGGTGATCACCACGCATACTCTGCGCGTTTTGCGACTATCGTGGCCCAAGGGGTATCGATAGCACCAGACCTGTTGGTGGGCTACTATTTGGCCAACCTGCCGGTAGAAATATACCGAGAGATGACTCGAGGGGGAACAAGGAAATTCGCGGACTGGCAGGAAGCAGCCGCAGCACTGGCTACCACGGCGGCACCGTGGAGGGATTCATGCGAAGACCGCCTCCGATTCCAGCGGGACTTAGAGGATGCCAAGCGTAGATGGGCTAACGGGGGGCGAGAGCCGGGTCTACAACGCGAACGAGAGAGCAGGGGAAACAGACGGAATGACACTACGGACTCACACTGTTACGCGTGCAGCGGAAGGGGACATGTGAGCAGGGACTGTCCGCTCCGCAATGGAGCGACGCGACGGATTGGGGAAACGTGCTCCAGGTGTGGGGGCCGGGATCACTACGTTAGAGACTGTCCCACGTCGGCTCGACCCAGAGCAGAGCCCGTCAGGCAGCGCAGACAGCAGCCAATGCGGCCCAAAATTGACCAATCGGGGCATTTAAACGGACGAGCTTAGCCGTTAAGGGAGACGAGCGTGCTAGGCGGTCTATGAGGGGTAAAGGTGCGACGTGCGCAGTAGCGTCAGGGCCTAACTTCATTCCAGTCTCCCCAGATTGGGGCAAGAA